ACATGCTCGTCCAGACTCCGGCTGTAAACCAGAATGTCGTCGAGGTATATAAGTACGAAACGATTCAGCATGTGTCGGAACTCCGTCGTCATAGCCGCTTGGAAAGTGGTTGGGGCATTTGTAAGGCCAAATGGCATGACCAGCCATTCGAAATGCCCATACCGAGTCTTGAACGCGGTCTTGTAGCGATCCTCCTTGCGAATCTCGAGTTGGTTACCCTGACTTGAGATCCAACTTAGAGAAGAATTGGGCGCCGCCCAATCGCTCGAGAAGGTCGTCGATGCGTGGGAGAGGGCTGACGTTCCTGATCGTCTGCGCGTTGAGCTTGCGATAATCGATGCACAACCGCAAATCCTTGTTCTTCTTCCGGACGAAGAGAACAGGAGCACCGTATGGCGATGAGCTAGGCCGAATCCAGCCTTTCYCTAGAAGGTCGTCGAGTTGTGCCCGAAGCACACTTAACTCTTCCTCGCTCATTCGGTAGATGCAACCGCGCGGAGGTACGGCCCCGTCCTCGAGGATGATCTCGTGGCGGAGGGGTCGATCCGGTACTACTCCATGCGGGTCTTCGAACACGTCGCTGTAGGCATCGAGAAGTTCGGTGATGAGTGGATCTGAAGGTGAGTCCGTCGATGAAGCGTCATGTGGCGGGAGGGCGTGGAGAAAACACACCCCCATCTCCTCGATGTCGTCTCTGATGATGGAAGCTCGCATGCTTGCGGCGGATACCACGTGGCAGTTGATCGAAGGATGAGGAAAAGGCACCGTGCATGGAACTAATACTCCGTTTCGGTCACGAACGTGAACGGTGCGGTTGAAGAAGTTCACAGGGTGATCCTTGCTTCGCAGCCATGACATGCCCAAGATCATGTCGAATTTGGTGTCCAGAATGTCGAAGGACACCGCCTCACTTGCGTGGGGGGCAAAGTACACTGGGACGGCTTCAATGCATCGGTCGATGGACTTATGCGTATGACCGTCTGCCAGAGTGACTTGTGTAGGCTGGGACTTCCTCCGGACACGTGGGCCAAGGCCGGCGCGTACCATGAAGTCCTGGCTGATGTAGTTGCGAGATGCTCCGCTCAAGGCACTGCAGGTCGCCTCTCCGATCTGAATGCGTATGTATAGCAATGGTGCGTCGATGTCGTCGTACCGTTGCGTCTTGAACTCGCGGTCGATCTTCGCGATGAAAGCGTGAAGGTCGACAACCTCTGCTCCGGCGTCCATCAACGGAGCTGGTACTGCAGTGTGCAAGTAGTTCCGCAATTGTGTCATAAGCGCGTTGCAATGCGGTTTCGGCAATCGTCCGGTCGAGGGAACGGGCATCCACTGGAAGTCCGTGAATGTCAACGGATCGAGCTCATCAAGTCTTGACCATGACGTCGAATCCCCGGCGATAGGTTGCGACGAACCTGCCGAATCGGTTGCCGATGGTGATGAAACCGTGCATGCGGTGGACTGTTGCACGTGGAGCGGTTGGTCCAGCGGTGGAACCAAGTGGACAGCATAATCCTCGTAAGTATACCGAGGACTTGCGACATTCGCATCCTCCCCAGATGTGCAGGAGGCCGCTAGCAAGGCGGCCGAATCTGGCGGAGTGGAAGGTGGAGTCGCCTCACCTTCCGCGGATCTCAGTTTCCCGAGCTGAGGCGGGGTCGCACATCCTCCTTGCCCTGATCTTGACACMGGGAGGTCTTGTGCTTGGTGCTGTTGCACCAATAGCAGCTGCCGTAGCGGCCGCGGACCTTGTACTCCGCCTCGGTCAAGCCAAACTTGACCCATGGAAACTGTCCTGGCTGTCTATTTCCGGCCTGC